TTAAAACACTGGTTAATTTGTAAAAAATTGTTGCTAAAATTTTAAAATGAACATCTGACAAATCAATGAGATTTGTACCTAGGAAATATGGTAAAATGAAAATAGTTACTGTGAGAAAAACAAAGCATATATATTAAAGAAAAATAAATGAATACTTATAATTAATTTAGCTGTGAAAGAAAGATTAATGAATTTAAATTCATTTTTTTTTTTTTAAGTTGTTTAAAGAGTATTTTAATATTATTTTCTGAATTATATTAGCCATAAAAAGTGATATATCTACATTTTAAATGAATTGAAATATCAATTTTTCTACAATTTCTTTTTACTCTGAATCCTTTATTTGCTGTTGCTCCAATTGTTTAACATATCTAAAATTGATTTCTATTCAACAGTAGCAATCTGGCAGATTTTCTCAAAACAAAGTAGGATCAAGGTCTCCACTTAAAAATCTACATCATTTAAAGTGGTATTTTCGCATAAATTGAGGTTATGTTCAAATTTTCCTTTGAGGTGAGTATAACCAATGAATGGAAACTCAACCTTAAACACTAAATGTGAAAACTACAAGGTGATCAAGAAGAAAAGACTTTTGCTGGTGTAAACATGTCTTCATTTGAGAAAAATAGCATACATTTGTCAGGTCTTGAATTTTCTTAGAAAATAATGTCTACTGTTTTGGCATTTTTGTAATTTATGCCTGGCAAAAATTTAAGAAATATGAAATACAATATTGAGCATAAGTAGACAATATGTAGACAGATTTGAAAGTTGCAAGGTTTTTCTGAAATAAAAAGAGTTCATTTGGTGAAACTACCTGCAGTCTCTGGTTTATATCCAACAAATTGTGTTGAGCAGTCATTTTTGATAAAGTTCAGAATAATCTTATATATAAAGTAATGTGTTTTTGCGTATGTCTGTCCAAGTAACTCCTCTGCTCCAATTTCAGTGATTCATAGCTCATTCAGGCACAGGGAATGATTTTCATTGAGCTCGAATTCAGTTGTCAGATTGTGCAAGGTTAAAATTATATATTAATATATTATACTAGCCATTATCGTTGTTTTCATGGTTCAAGGGGAATAATTCTTATTTTCCTTTTATATCCAAAATTGCAGCTAGCTTGAAATTTTAAGTTAACTTCTTTGGACATCATCACAAGTAGATGCAATAGGCATCAATAAACTACAGAACTCAAAATTGATTGCTGCATTTAACTGAATTCATGTTAAAGCTTACCTTTTAAAAGTTCAACAATAATTCTTCTGCTGCCACTTATTTTAAAGACAATTTGATGTATATAGATCCTTATTTCCATACAATTATTTTTATTTCATGGCTGACAGAACAGGACAATTTATAAGATAAAATTAATATAAAGATGGGAAAATAGAATTAGTTATACATTCAACATTTGATGAGTTAGCAAAAACATAATAGCTAATTAAGTAAAACCTATATTATGGAATCTATGAATAAATGCAAATTTGGAGCTTAATTCTCCCACAAATTCTGAGATTAAAATCCCCAGCTTTTACTTCATAATAATTTGTATTTACTCAACCCCCAGACAAGGTCAGGTTGTGACATAAGGTTGGTTTAATGTGGGGAGCCAGAGCACATCCACCTTGGGCAGATGTTCCCCAAGGATGTGCACATCCCAGGATAATTTTCTTCAGTTGCAACTGTCCTTTGACAGATGCCACTGGGAAATGTTAAATGTTACAAATTACTAGAGAGTAATTTACACATGGTATGTACTCTGTCTGCCAACTAAGACAAAATGTGCTGGTTCAAGCTAGTCATAGCGTAATACTACCAGCACAGGGAGACTGAATCCCTGTGCCTGGTAAGTATCAATGTGTTACAAACTACTAGAGAGAACAGTTTATACATGAGGTACTCCCCACTAAAATGAGTTGTGACACAAGGTCAGTTTTTTAAGATGGGGACCTGAGCACTTACACCTGGGCTAAGAACAAAATTGCCCATAGACCCTGCATGCACTGATCCCTTTCTCTGGTGCAATGAGAGGTGCAGCTGTTCCCCAGGAGCTGGGCACCTCTCAGTATAATTTTCCTCAGTTGCAACTATTCTTTGATTGAGTTGCCCCTGAGCAAACTCTGTCCAAAAACAGAGATGCAACTGAGAGATGATAAATAGATGTTACAAACTATGGAGATTTACTTGACCCCTCCACCCCACTGAGTCAGGTAATTTTAGGCAATATCACTCTTCAGGTTTAACTATTTTGCATATTGATTTTAAGAAGTATATTTCATTAACTGTCCTTTTATCTGAGGATTTTGATTTTTGTATCAAAAATAGCTCTATTTAGGAATATCATGTTATACAGTGCAGAAAAGTGTTTGAAATTTGCATTTAATTTGGCCTTCAACATGACATCTATTTGTAAATTTTTTTAACTAACAAAAAAAAAACAAAACAAAAAAAAAAAAAAAAAAGCCAATTTATGAATTAAATATTTTTGAATCAAAGATTTCAAGTAGTGAGTATACCTTACTTTGTTAAGCAGGTGAAGCCTGCTAGTTAAGTATAAAAATAGGATTTCAAGATGCTCTTCATTTTTTAATTCTGTTTTGATATATAACATTACTCATTTGTGGTGTTGCAGATTCAAGAATAAGAAAAATTTTAAAGGTTGTATTGCATATTTAAGTCATAAACTTTTTTTTGTAATTCTAATTTCAAGTTCAAAATTACAAATACAGCCAAATTCATTTTTGAAATTTTATTTACTTTCAAGTATAGAGAAAAATGATTACAAATGTAATATTATTTATTTATAATAGCTTAAGATTATAAACATAAATTTGAAACTCAGATTACACCTGAAGTGAAAGTTACTGATTTTTGTTTCCTATGAAAAACATGCTGAATCTAGTTTTTGTCTGCCAACACCTTACAAATGCATGGATAGCCAATGAAATTTCTTTTGTTTTGCAATTTACGCTAGGAAATTAAAACAAACAGTAAATGAATTTCATACATTTGGACTGTATAAAAAAAAAAAGACTTTTGGATAACTCCCAAGTTTACAATGAAAAGGTCTTAAAGGGAAGAAAAAAAAAAAAAAAAAAAAAAATTGCAGCACTAAGCTTTAAAAGGTACATTTGATACTTAAAATGACTAATATTGAAATATTTGAGATATATGAGAAAGAGAGAGATAATAGCCAACATATCTTTCAATGAAAAGATTTCTAAAAAAAAAAAAAAAAAAAAAAAGTTCTCCCAATAGCTTAAATATCTATGTTGATATCGTAAAGCATTTTAAAAAAAACATCCAGTTGGTAGTCCTGCAAATATGTACATTCCACTAAAATTCAATAGTCTATAATTTGTACAAAAGATAGATTAAATATAAGCTTCTGTATATCATGCTGTTTTACTGTGTAGAACCTTGTATACCTAATTTTGATAAAACACACAACATTGAGACAATTACTTACATAAAAGATAAATATTAAAATTAACTAAGAGTTCAGATGAAGGAAATCAGATATCAAGATTATAAAATGATACTTAGAAGATCACAGGTATGATGTACTTTGGAAATAAATGTTTATTTCAGAGGAAAAAAATAAGAGAAATCATTGCTGTTTATCAGTCTAGACATTAGAAATGCCTAGTTTGTACTAAATTTAGTGCATTTTTTTTTTTTTTAAAATAATTGTTACAGTTTCATAGCAATATTATTGGTTGAACTTCTTAATTTGTTAAACATTGACAAAAAAAAAAAAAAAAAACAAAACCCAAAACAAACCAAACCTCTAAAATTATCCTTTATGTAAAAAGACAATTCCAAAGTGAAAAGGTCTGTTGAGACATCAATGAAACACAGGCAGGATTTCATGGTTTATTCATTATTATGTGTTGTGTATATCAACACAAACAATTTGTTGACAGAAATACAATATGAACAACATGTAAAAATATCAATCATCTGTAGTATTTGATTGAAAACATTCATAGAAATTTCACCCCACCCCCATTACTTTTTTGCAAATTTTTGATAGCTTTTTTTGTTATTTTTTAAAATTTTTTTTTGTATATATATTTTTATGAAGATGAATACCCCACACCACAATCTGTATTGCCATCAACCATGTGCTGGATACACTAGTCAGTTGGACTGCACATACAAAGACCATTGGCCAACTAGCTGGAAATGCAAGTTACTTTGTGCTCATTGATATTAGAGAGAGAGAGAGAGAGAGAGAAAGAGGATTCCTTTGTTAATGAACAAATGCTAACTTAATTATGCAATCATCATTTATGTATAGCCACTCCACTTATCCAGCACTCATAATTGAGGTAATCTGTACAATATTAGAGTTTGTTACAACACTGAGGAGGAAAACGTGCCCTGAGTAAGTACAAAATAAATAATATATAAATAATTGCATAAGGTTTTAATGAAATTACAGATTTTTGGTATCTTGCTGAGCTCATTTCTAGATGTTTTTTTTTCCTCTAATGACATACATAAATGTATATTATAGATATTTATATATATATATATATATATATATATATATATATATATACACACACACACACACACACACACACACACACAACTATCTCCAATTACACATTCATGCACACATACCTTTTATATCCCAGTACACACATGCATGTAGTGTCAAATGTCCACTGTGTGCAGTTTAATCAGGTATAAATTTTGGAAACAAAATGTTTAACACAAAATATTTTAGCTGAAGATATGAATAAAAAATTCAGGAAGTTGATTTTTATGAAATCAAAAGTTTTTTTTTCTTCAATGAGCTACAGTAACTGCAGAAGTTTCTCTAAAATAAATAAATGGAACAAAAAAGTGTAAAAAAAAAAAGAAAAGAAAGAAAAAATTGGAAAAGATTGACTGAAATATCAACAGAAGTTAAGTGGTGAGTGAAGTGCTAGTAAAACTATCTAAATGATGCGAAGGGAGTATTGTTGGCTAGTGCGAAGCTAAGATTATTCTCGTCCCCCCGCCGCAGGCATTTGGGCAGGTACCACTGAGCTGACTGGCTGCTTCCCAGACATGGGACGAATCAATGGAGGTGGCGGTTGTTGCAGAATTGTCTTAGGTTGAGGAAGCAACCTACAACACAGAAACACAAGCAATAAGTTAAGACTGTCAGTCCCAAAATAATGACACATATGGACACAAACACAATGGTAAATGAAACCAGGAAGGTTTCAGTTGCCATAAGTGAACACATAACATAAGATCTTTTGATGTAAAATTTAGCATTAACCCCACCTCCCACCACCACCACATAAAAAAGAAAAGTAAAAAAAAAAAAAAAAGAAAACTTAGGTCACTTTCTAGCAATACTTGATATTTGTTTGCTCCTGCATATCCATTTCAAGGCATTTTTAAATATAATTGTATGGTTCAATGTTGAATTTTTATAACTAATCTGCTTACATTCCCAAATTTTTTAATTTACATTTTTCCAGAGGAATTTCTAATAAGGAAATATTTCTATCTTCCAACTACCGAGAAAGAAAACTACAAAGATATAATTTCACTTGGATAGCAGATTAGTGTTATATTAGCAGTATGTTTTGTGCTTGAGTATAATAAACCAAACACATCATGACCACGGAGAAAAAAGTTTTAAAGAATTTGTTTACAAATGGATTATATTCTTTTGAATAATTTAATCCATTAATCAACAATGTGAAAGATTATGGGAAAAACATGTTTTATACTTTCTAATGATCTTTATTGAGTTTTACATTGACACAGACAACACTGAGATCCACAGCCCAACAAGGCAGACTTAACAATAAGGGTGAGAAAATCAGTTTGAAATGCACCTGTACCTAGGATGTTGAGATGATTGAGAATTGTTTCCCTTGGTGATAGGCACTTGCGGCTGCTTGAGCAAGGGAGGGGGGGGGTGTACTAGCAGCAGTAGCAGCTGCTGGGGTAACATTCCCACTACCAGAAGCTGGCAGAGTAGATGTTGGCTCTTGCTTTATAGGTGGTGGTGAGGAAGATGCTGCTACTCCCTCAGTAGACTTGCTTTCAACATCCATCTGGAAAAAAACCAAAAGAAAAAAAAAAAAAAAAAAAAAAAAAAAAAAAAAAACAAAAAAAAAAAAAAAAAAAAAAAAAAAAGAAAAAAAGAAACAAAACATAATTTAATTGAGTTCCCTGAAAGTTAAGAAATAAGCTTGTTTTTCTGACAAAAAAACAAAAATTACCTTTCAGCTAAAATATCAAGTTAGAACTATTCAAAAGCAAGATATTCAATTATTTCAGTAGATATGTACAGGTTAAAAAAAAAAAAAAAAAAAAAAAAACAACAACATGCAGGAGAAATTACATTTGAACCATTATGTATCTGAAAGTGTCTAAAGAAACATGAATATTTAATTCATTACAAGTTCATTTTAATGTTAAATTGTTAATTAGGATAAAGTATACATCATATCAACTTCAAAGAAAAGATTTATAAAGAAATTTACCTTGTCTGAATCCTTTTTCTCATCATCTTCATCTTCTTCTTTCACAGTATCAGTTCCATGTTCACTTTCATATTCCGCCAAAACCTCATCAAGATTATATCTACGCCTATAGTTTATGAAGAAGTTTCGAACATGAGCCTCAAGTTTATTGCCTATGACCTCTGCAATAGCTTTGAAATCTTTACCATAACGGCGGACACCTGAAATTTGTACAACACTACAGAATGAAATATGAAGAGAGAGAGAGAAAAAAAAAAAAAAAAAAAAACCCAACTTTCCTCAAAGTATACACAACACATAGTATTTAAACCTTTTTCACTCACCAGCAATGATCCATATCCAGTAGTAGGATTTCATTTTTTTTCTCCAGATATGGTTTGTCATACCAAATATTCTCACTTGATGTTTAAATTTTTGTTTTGGTTAAATTTTATCTTTAATTTTTACCGTAATTGCATGGGATGGATGCTATATGTAATTACAGGTGTATTGTAACAGGTGAGATTTGAACTCGATTACCACAAAATTAAAGAATTGAACTTTACATTTATTCAAGGTTATATTAAGTCTATATTTGAGGTAGTATGGTTTCTTTTTAGTGTGTAAATCTGAACTTACCTTGAACTGCTAACAAAAGTTCTTCATTAGTCCAACGAGAATTGATTCTCTGAGTGGTCTAAAATATAAAAATTTAATTCAGCAAAATTAGTTGAATGTGATTACTTTTAATTGTAAACAGAAATAAATCAATATTTTATAATTAGACATTAAGTGTTTTTTTTTTTTTTTTTTGATATTGAGGAAATTAATTTTTCCTCTAGGAAGAGGAAATCCAGTATATAAAAGGGACAGTACCATGCATCCATCATGTCCAACTCAAACATATTTGGACACTGAAAAGTGTGTATTTGTAATTTTAAAAGAAATTAGTTATGATTAGGTTTTTCTGAATTAAGTCAAAGTCTTTCTCATATTTTACGTTTAATAAGTGACAATATAAGATATATCCAAAAGGCATAGGTATTTTGCAGCCCTGCTTGGTTATATTCTATTTTAAAAATCTAAAGAATTGCCATATAAAATACCTTAGACAATTTTTAAACAGAAAAATTGCTAATAGATCATAAACAATTCTAAAGATTTTCCTTTAAGAGAATGCTATTAGTTAGAAATGAATGCCAATAACTAGTAGTTTTGCAGATCATTTTGGTACATCAAAATATGTCAAAAATTATATATTAGATATGCTTACAAGTTTTTAAAAAGCAGAGTTTGAATGTCACAAAATATTTCAATTTCCTAAAATGTACAAGTTAATTGTATCCTAATCAACATCTTAAGCAATGAGAATTTAATAAATTTCTAGTTTTTAAATGAGGTTAATGGTTATACAAGTTCTAATATGTAATGAAATCTTTATTGTTCAGTCAAGATCATAAAATCAGAATGGGCAAATGAATAAACTTATGTGCTTTTAGAATATAACTGAAAAAAGTAATTTATTACAAGTTAGAATTTTAAGGAATTGCAATGACAGACTAGTGTACTTACTTCTGGAGGCTTCCACTCATCAATTCCAGTGCCTGTTCTATGTTTTTGCATACTTATAATCTGTTTGTTGTTTTGAACCTAAAGAATTAAGAAAGTAACTTTAAATATAAACAAAAAGTATAATCTGTATATAAGCAAAATCTTCAAAAAGTAAACATCAATTATAGCATAATATTGTGAAAGAGTAGGAGTTAAATAAACCTTCATGTCTCCAATATTGATAATAGGAAAACCTCACCTGTCTTTTAAGGGAAATAAGGTCCATATCTAACGATTTCAAAATTTGTTCTGCCTGCTGTGGTGGGCCTGTAAGCATCAGTCTAAGATCCTCTTCAGACAGGTACATGCCACGAGGAGGTTTTCTTTTGTGACGCATTGGATTATGCCGATGCTGGCTGTGCTGTTGCTCTCGGCGTTTCATGGGCCCAGCACTTGATCTCATCACCCCAGTTCTCCTAAGAAAGGATTAATCGTTAAATACAACAATCTACAATATTCTGTAGAGCAAAGAAAATATAGAATTTTCTGGCTTTTTACACAAATTACATTTTGATTAGGAAAAAAACAAAAGAAAAGCATACTCAAAACCAACTGAAAAAAGTTAGAGTACATTTATTTAAGAGACCAATGAACAATATCTAGTCATAAAAATCTTTGCTTTGATACTATATAAAGATTTTAAGTTTTTTTTCTAAACAGTAATAACATATCTTTAATGTAAATTGAATAATTGTGCCAAAATACTATCAAATGTTACTAACATTATTAATAAACATTTATAATTACAAATCTGAGCTACAATAGGTTTGAACAAACAATATCAGAATTAAGATGAACATTTCTGATATAGATGATTGAATTAAATAGAAGCTGAAACTTCAATAAATTTGATTACTTCAATGTAATCAACATTTTTAATTTACACAAAGAAATTTCTGCAAATGTTGAGTTAGAATAAATAGGCTTACCTCCAGTATTGATAACAACTATTGCACAAAGCTCCTTTTGGTGTTGAGTGAAGTTGAGAGGAGTGCATTCCACAGTTAGAACAACCTTTGCCATCTTCTCGACTTGTCTGTATATAAACATATATATAAATATCAGCACAAAAACCATTAATACAAATTACCAATACATAGTGAAAGCTTATGAAGATTCATTAATCAAAACTGATAATTTTTCTTGCATTTACATGTACTTTAAAAAGGCTTGTTAGTATAGCATAATTCCAAGAAAAATAGTTTGCAATGCAAAACAAAGCATTTATTGGCCAACTTGTAATACATACTCCATTTTCTTTATTGTTTTCCACATCACTGTCTGAATTTCTGCTACCTTCATCAGATGCTCCGTCACTAAACAAAACAAAGAAATTTATCAAACACAGAAAAAGAAACTTTAATAAAATTTTAAATACATAGATGCCAATAGGTAAACATTTCTAAGTTGTTACTATTATCTCTTGTAATACTGTATTTCAGCTATTACTGATATTTCATGTTAATTTTTACAACATTATTTAATAAAACAGAAAACACTTTAAAAGTTAAGAGCAGAATAAAAGATTTATTAGCACATACACTAGATAAATTTTTCTTTTATAAATAAATAAACTATCTTTTCATGCTCAAGACATTAAAAAATGTGACTGAAGTTGATGCTTGGTTTTTCAAATTTTATTGAGTGTTTTATTAAATAGCTTACAACTTGAATAGCACCATGTATATTAAAACTAAACCTGGTTTAATTTAATGAAGGATGCTAAAAACTTTAGCACACATGCCATAAGATTTATTAATAGTAATGATAGAAATATTTGAAATAAATACAGCCATACAACATGTATTAGTATAAAAACTAATTAATAACATACTAACAGAACGTTGTTAACCAATTGACTAGCTGATAGTCTCAGTGCACATTCTACTGCTTTCAATAAATTCTACCATGCACTAATCAAAATAGCAAATGCAGGTGATTAGCTGATGTGGAAAAGCAAATTCTGACATGTTTATATTCTTAATCTTGCCAATTATATCACAGGCACCAGTTAAAGAAAAGAGAGAGAGGAGGAGGAAAAAAAAAAAAAAAAAAAAAAAAAAAAAGAAAAAAAAGAAAGAAAGACATGGCTAAGTGATCAAATAAAAATTAAAAGCAAAAATTAAATTCTTAAAATTTATGAAGAACATTGTAATAATTACATTTATGAAACTAAATGTAGACTCATAGACTAATTAACAATTAAGACTAATGGAGAGGTTACTAGAAGTAGCAAATTTTGTAACAATTCCATCTTCCCCTGGCCTTGTACTTTTATTAAAAGGGAGTTAATGAGTTACTTTGAAACCACACTAGCATACTGACTATTGGCAATCACAATAGAGTAGATAGACAAAACTTTCTAAGTCTGAGTCAGATATTTGATAGCTGTGGCTCACCCATTCCAGATATATTATATAAATACACTTCATATCTGCAAATCCACAGTGAAGCAATACGTACATGCACAAAACCAATAAGACAAGCATTTCATTCAAAACTAACTGGAGTTATTTTTAAGAATCAGAAGTCAAGAAACAAACAAATGTGCAAATATTGTTACACTGAGACTAAATAGAAAGAAATTAATTGTTATTGGTAATATAAATAATGGAAACTTAATTTCCTTAGTTATCAGTTGTTTAGATCTCAATCTGCTGAAAATTACAAATATATATATATATATGTTTTTTGTTTTAGTTATCTTAAATTTGCATACATTAATATAAAAGATCAGAAAAAGACAGTAGTACAGACAACATAAAGAGAAATCACAGTGGTGGGGGAATGACATCAAAGAACCTGAAACCAATTGGAACCAGTGCCCAAAATAGACTTAAAAATCATCATCCAATATACCATGACAGAGGAGTTAACAGTAGAGCTTCAGGAAAACTTTACATGAATAAGAGTTGAACTATTAGAGAAAGAAAAAGAATTACAGGGTTCGTAAACTGAGAACAGAGAGAGGAGGAAAAAAAAAATGTCTGAATTTTGTTAATATTGCAAATCAAATTTCATATTAGTCATAAGTATAACAATGCAAATTTTTTGATTAATAAAACCTAAATGTTTTTGTAAAGTTATGAAGTACTTAATAAAATATTCTTGATAATTACTCAAAAATTAAATTCCTAAAAGTATCCTTCATGCCTTCTTTAAAATTATTTATTTCACAAAGTATAAATATTCCTCTGCATCCTATTTTTTTTTTCTTTAAAAATGTTTTGTTAAATAATTCCACATCTTGTCAATATATCCATCCAGAAACTAAATATGTTGCTTAACTAACTAAATGAGAAAAGCTAAAGCAGGTTCAAATTTCCATTTTAAAATCAATAGGATTTTGGAATATTTCCTGACAGGTGATACAATGTGATCAACAATAAATGTTGCTATGGAAACATCAATTTTCAAAATTTTACAAATATTGGAAGTTTAAGCTTTTAAAAATTTTGAAAGTTATATAAAAATAAACAGTGTTTCACACAACTTTAAGCCCAGGCAAAATTTCCCATTTTATGGGTCTGAGTCATATATGCATTTGACCTGATCATAAGTTATACACATGGTTAACTTAACAAAATTGGCGGTGACCAGTGATAAGGTATAATACTGAGGTGGTGCTAAAAGTTCCCAACACAACCAAGAATCCATGTTTGGTCAGATTTTTAGGATCCTCCCAATAATATTGCACTTAAGTAATTATTAACAGCTAATATTAATGTAAATATTTTCTTATATCACCATTACTGTCAATCAGAAAATCTAATCTAGCACATCTGGAACCAAATAATGAAAGAATTCATGTGACACTCCATTTTAAGCTGCTAAAGCGGCAGTTCTGTGTTTTTGGTTTGCAGAATTACCTACCTTCAAGAAGAGCACCCCCCCACAAAAACAATTCCTATTCAACTTTCCTATACATTTTCAATTTTGTTTGGATCTAGGCTGTCAGCATGCTAAACCAAAAACATATCTTGCCCACTGAGAAATAACTTTTAGTGATTCTTCCAGCATGAAGGTCATTATCCTACTGAATTAAAAACTGTGTAGTGCTGAATTGAAATAACAGCATCTACTGAATTTGAATTTGCATATCCATTTATTGTACAAGGTTTAGGTGCCTGTCAAACAGAAATGCCACTTTCCAACCATATCCTACAGCACCTCAAATCCTATGTTTATGAGCTTCACTAGCACACTTTGGAAAATTCCCCTTTGTTAATCACAAGTCATACCAGTAACAGTGGAGGCCATCAGGATTGAATTTCTCACTTGTTTTTGTGTTAAATTATATTTGGAGCTGGACAATGAAACTTAGTTTGATGATTGTCAAATGAGTCCTGGATTGACTGGCCTTCTGTTGAAGTTGCTCTTTCATCATAATAGGATATTTTGTGCCCGACTTTTGTTCTTGACTTACTTTCTGAATCATAAAACTTTTCACAAATGTCCAAACACAAGTAACTTGCTCCATTAATTGCAGAGATTCTGAATTTCAACACCTCTACCATGTACAACTTTTTTTTTATAACAAAATCTGATAAATTTGGAACCCACAAGAATTGATCAGTTTAAGCTAAAATTTTAAAGATTAAAATTTCTTTAAAATTGCTATTTGTAAAAGTAGCTAACCTTAAAAAAAAAAAAAAAAAAAAAAAAAAAAAAATCAAACAGTAATTAATTTATTCCAGACATGTAATGAAATTAAAATTTTCATTTGCGTTTAAGAGTTGTTGTACACTATATATGTGTAATTCAGTAATTACTGTAATAATCTATGCCCTCATACGAACCCTGTAAATGCAGATTGACAAATAGCTTGGAGGTTTTCAAGTCATGTAGAGCATGCAGTGAACAAAGCCAACAAACTGCAAGATCTTATCAGTACAGCTTATACCTACTTGGACAAAGTAATGTTCCTGAAGCTGTATATCAGCTTGATGCGGCCACACCTGGAAGATAGTAATTTAGTCTGGTCACCAAGCCTAATGTTGGATGGCCAACTAATGTTCAATGCTGTGCATGAGTCTCTCAATCGTCCAACAATAGCATAGATACGAGGACACTATGAGAAACCACTATTTGCATATTAGAAACAAGTACACAAAAATTATTGAAACAAAATGCACAAAGAACTAGCTGGAAAAGATACCACAGATGATGGGACTAATGAAGGTACATAAAACCAAGAAAAGATTTAATATTTTTTTTTCATTAAGTGGATATATTAGGCCAAAGGTATTAAAATTTCCCCAACTTACAAACATCTTAAACAGATGTATTAAAAAAAAAAGAAAAAAAAAAAAAAAAAGAAAAAAAAGAAAAAAAAAAAGAAAAAAATTACAAAAACAAAACAAAAGGATAAAAAGTAAAAGGCCAGGAAGGGAGAGGAAGCATAGAAAATATAACATTGATATAGCTATTGATGGAGAGCTAAATCTGATTAAAAGCTGGTTCCAAAGAAATTAATTTTACATTATTTGAAAAATAGTATTACCTGTCTCCATCTCGTGGATGCCCAGCAAGTTTCTTTGCTTGACGGTCCATAAGGCTGGTTCTTGATCTAGTTTTTTTCCATGAATAATAATACTTCACTAAACTAGCAATGGATTTGTCTGGTAGCTGAAAAATAATTCCATAGCCTAATAATTGGATATCTGAATTATTTTAGACTTAACAGGTCATGAAAATTTAAGAATATATATTCAAGAACAGATAATAATTAGCCTGTATCCTTGATAATAATCATTGCAAAGAAATTAATCTAACATTTTAGTAAAACAATAAAAGCTATAAACAATCAAAGTACAATAACAAGTTTAGGCAAAGGAAAAAAATTATTACCATTTGCCTGATTCTTTGGAAGCTCTTTCCATGAAAGCTGAAGGCTTGTTCAAATAAAACTTTATCTTCAACAGTCCACTCATCAGGAAAAGGAGTGAAATTTGGTAAATCAGCTAATGCTTTCTCAATATTATGTTTATGCCAGAAAAGCATCCCAAGGGCCTGGTTACAAAAAAAATAAAAAAAAAAAAAAAAAAAAAATTGCATGATAATTTTATCTTTCAAACAAGCAAAATGCTTTTAATTAATCATTACATTGAATCCAAAGAAACTAAGAACTTTGCTAATGAACTGTCAATAAAATAAAATTCAGTCAATTTCATTTAAGAAACTTCAAAGACATCTTTCAACATCAAGTCTAAAACACTTGAGTATATGGTCAATGTTTTGTCAAATATCAAAACAATTAGCTGATGCCTTTTTCCATTTTCTAAGCCTTGCTGATTTCTGTTTAGAAGCACTAGAAAAAGTCAACAAGAATTGTTTTAGCATGTATTGTTTTTAAATCAGTCATCCTATTTGACTTATTTGTGAAGAATTGGAGTCTAAACTTGGAGACATGGTATAAGATACCAAACAAACATATTACATCAAAATGATAATTGTTATGAATATGGACTATAATAGTTCGAAAAGTCAATGCGAGTTAAATTTCTAGACAGAAATTATTAAACTAAGACAAATTTGCAAGAATTAGATACTAGTTTTAACGCATGTGCTATAAAATGCATGTAATAAAATACTTCAACTTGGAAAGCAACTGAAAATTAAATAACATTCCCAGTTACTTTCTCTAAGGTACTGAAGTGGAAAGAGAAATAAAACAAAATATTGTTAAACTAATTTCAGAATTTTTGGGGCACAAAGATTAACTGAAGAAAATTAGAGCAGAAATTAAATTTTTCATGAAAACCAATTTAAACTTCAATCACTTATTCCTTTGATTTGACATAAATAAATTTTGATGAAATACCTGAAGACGAAAGTAAAATAAAGGAATAAATACATCAGAGGAGAAAGCATGAAGAAAAAAAAGAAAAAGAAATTTAATAGCTGAATGGGTCAACAATTTAAAAATTTAATTCCATTATTTAGACAAAGATTAAATAATGATTAAAGTAAGAAAATATTGTGCTTCTGTCTAAAGAAGACTTTGTGGTCTCATTAACTGTCAAGATGAGTGTCCAATTCTAAAAATATATTGTTGGTAAACCACCTTTAAAATAACTATTGAGCTAAAGCAGCTGCTAAAGCTATTAAGTTCAAGCATAAAGTCTAACATATACATACCTGTTGCTCCATCTGGATGAGATAATAAATACACACACACACACACACACACAGGTGGCTTGACACCCTCCCCCTCCCCTAAAAAATATTTTGTAAGCAATTTAAATACAGCTTACATTTTACTTTAATAGACACACATGCTAAACTGATTACCAATCGTCGTTTCAAAATTGGCAGGCGACTATCACTGACCAGAGAAAAGAAAAGAAAAAATTCTTTAAATATATCTGCTTTAAAAAAATTTATTTGTTGTATCAAATTTTTTGTTTTTCAGAGTATAAAATAAAATCAATTCATGAGAACAATTTTTAATAATAATAAAAAAATTCTTTGAAGGATGCAAACACAAAATGTCTGCCACAGATAAAATATTTTAGATTTAGAACACAAGCAGAAAAAAGAAAAAGTATGAATAAGAAATAAATTAGGACTCTACCTGTTCCATATTATAACCGTGTTTTTCTTTGGCAATAGTAACATAATCATCAACTGTAAAATCAAAAAGAACTTTCAGAACCTAAATAATTAAAAATCTTTACTCTAAAACCTATATTTATCATAAATTACTTTTATCTCTTATCTTAAAAAAAAGAAAAAAAAGAAGGGGTTAATGTTGGTGCTATAAATAAAAGTTAAATATATTATTCTTTATATAAAACTTCTTTAAACTAATAAAACAAAATATATATATATATATATATATATATATATATTGAATAAAAAGTCAACAATTTATTAAAGACATTTTATGTTTAACATTCTTTTTATAGATACAAGTATTTAAGTAAATGCTCTGTTTATAATAAACAGTATTAAATAACATTTACCGGCCTGAACGTCCAAGAAATTTTCATAGAAATCCTGTCAAAGGACGAATATTTTCTATGAAAATTTCTCGGACATTCAGGCGTAAATGTTATTTAATACTGTTTATTATAAACAGAGCATTTACTTAAATACTTGTATCTATAAAAGAATGTTAAACATAAAAAAAATTTTTATATATATATATATATATATATATATATATATATATATATCTATCACATAATTACTTAGACATTTTAATGAACATTATGCAGATGGAGAAAACAAAAAACTACTCTAGAATAAAGGTTATAAGAAAATGAAAGGGAAGATATGTTATAAGGACAATGGGGAGAGCGAGAATATCAATGCTGATGAAGCACATCAAATCATCTAACCAAATATTATTTACCTAACATTTATATTAAATATAACCAAAGAAGCAGTTATTAAAAACTTCTATAATCACAGTTTCAGCCACTGCTGTTCTTTGGAAAATTAAAAAAATTATCTTTTTGTAGGCATATAGCACCCCCAACAAAACAAACTGTAGTTTTTATTAATAAGTTAAAATGTGTAACTTTCTTAAAACATCAGAAACAGTAAATTATTAACAATGATAGCAACTTACTTCTGGATTCACAGAGATCAGCATTGGGAGCCCAAACCAACATAGCATCTGTGCGTACATCATTTTTCATGTCTATAAGAGAAACATATCTGATGAGGAAAAAAGGGTTCAGATGAAGAAGTAAATATTCTTTGATTTACAAAACTATAAAAATCCTATTGTTATGTCAAAAATTTAAGTGTATCTTGTCTAATAAATTGAAATTATTTGATGCCAATTGCTTCAGGCCGTTTTAGAAAGTACAGTAGTTATGTACAAGTTAAAAATAACTATACTTTAATATCAAATTCAATTAGATGTGTTATTTGTATGATGACAATATGAAGGATTAAGAAAATTCTTAGAAAGCTTTTCAGTTACTCTATTTTTTAAAAAAATTATAATGCCCTATTCAAAGATTGATAACAAGCATAGAATTTTACAACTACGATAGCTGAAATTCTCAGTAAAGGTAATTTTTGCTTCAAAATGCAGTGACAGAAACTCCATAATAAAGTAAACACAGTATTTGTTTTTAAATTTAATATTACATTTCAGTCTGTTTAGGATCTTGAATCATGAGAAATTTGAAATTATATTATTCATAAAAATAATGAGAAACCAGGTAGGTTGAGAGAAATCTCATGAAATAAATCTGCAAAAGATTAATATAAATATCTATTTCATTTAAAAAAGAAAAGTTTACATCAATCCCAGAATACAGCTTACTTAAAATATATTTTTAAACTGATGTCTTGTTTCAATACATTGTCAAAGATAAATGGGGGGACTTAAAGTAAGAGAAAATCCCAAAAGGAGATTAGTTACTTCAGTACTATAACAAATGAGAACCAACAGAATGAAATTCTAAGATTAATCTTAGCTCATTTAAATTTGCTAAAAATCTTTATACAATAATCGCTTATATAAGACAGAGATAAGTTTTTCTGCAGTGAATCTTACAATGTCACTGAAATGTTGATCTTTGTGCAAAATTGCTAATGAATATAAAACACACTCTTCATGCTTAATGTGAGAATTTGCAAGGAAATAAAGTAACTTATAATGAAACTTATAATGATGCAGCACCAAGTACAAGCTCAATTAGGAGTTAAACGTTTTTGATTTTGAAGTTATTAGAAATTGAAAACTAATTAATCCGGAGAACTTTTGAAAGCGGATACCACAAACATCTTTCAAAAAGCTTGAATGATGCAGTGATAGAACAGCAATCGTATTTTTGTGTATATAACAAATGTATTTAAAATTAAATGCACATAAAACAAGACATAGCGCTTTTTGTAAAAAGCATTTTAAAGATGGATTTAACTTTTTAAAAATAATTTTGGTGAGGGGAACAAAGGATAACTTCCATTTATTAGGTGTTGGAAAAAAAAACCCCTCATTTCAGATTTATACAAGAAATATTTAATATTATTTGAAAGTTTATATAGCAGATTAATAGAAATTAATGCTTTGAGATCTTTCTAAAGTTTAAAAAAGAAGCAATGCTTTTTTAATATTTAGAATTTACGAAATCACGTGTATTTAAATTTCTGTAGTAGTGTAAAAAAACGAATGCCAAATTTGCAGACTTTTGAAATAAAAAAAGTAAAAGAAAGCTTGCTAAAGTGCGAAACTGGTTTAAAGTCCATAAAATTTCATCGGTTATTGGCTTTATAAATAAATTTTGCTTTGTTTAAAAACAAAAAATGAAACCCCCAGTCACTGAAAACAAATGTATTAATTCAACATTTCCTGTGCATACAACTCATTTTCAAATATTTTTATAACACCAATTCCTTAAAATAATTGTTTCATCCATACCATAAAAATAAAATTAGATTTTTTGGTGCAAATTTGTTAGAGTATGCTACATTTTATCAGGTTAATAAAATAAAAGGAGTTGTCAAAGCAACCTAGCATCTCAACAAGCATTATTTTATCAAGTTAAGAAGAGCTACACAATAAGGAAAGAAAATCAACTTTTTCAAAAACGGGATATAAAAATGAATAATATCTCCAATTTGATTAAAAAATAACATCTTGAAATAGACGTTAAAATAATTTTGGTAGAACCCCGCCACACCATTTTCTGTATTCTTTAAAATGTGGGGTGGGGAGTACAAGTGAAAATCGTTATTTAGCACTTTGTAGATAATTTTCGCGTAGTAAAACGAAACTTAAAATGAAAGGCTTGTTTAAAAGTTTGGACATTTACTATTTCAGCTTTATGACAATACAAACAAATAGTTCAAATTCAGTTAATTTGTAAATTATTCTAAAAACCCTTGAAGTCCTCTTTTCGCCTTTTTTTTTTTAATTTATTTAATTACAAAACCGCTAAACGTCTTTTAAGAGAGAAAATATACAGACAAGAAACTAGTTAGAATTTCCTTTTTCAATTACAAAGAAACTTGCAAATCAATTTTCATAAAATTAGAAATGATCAACAACAAAAAAGCTAATCTTAAAATCTCAAGCAAAAACAAAGTTCTCTCGATTTGTACCTTGAAATTGTTTCTAAGCTATTCTTTTTTAACGAATGTAATAATAAAAACGACGCAGAGTGCTTTCAAAACCAGAACAATATCTGAAAGATCAGTTTATTTGTTGTCAGTTAATGCTTCAAAAGAAAAAAAAAACAACAGATTTGCTTTAGAAAATTAAAAGAGTTGATTAAATAGTAATTTCGGATATTTAATTAATTGGTATACAATTTCTACTATAAAAGAAAAACATTAGTTAACATCATTTAAGCGAAAACAGCGTTCGAACAATAAAAACCCTCAATGCAATGAACCTTGTCTAAAATGCCAAATTAAGGGCATATTTGGCGCGAGAATAAGGACGTCAAGAAGAACAAAAGTTTTTTTTGTGATTTTCTCTTTAATATTACGAACATTTAATGAAATAAGGGTGTGAGCTTAAAAAAAAAAAAAAGTTTAGAATCCTGAGTATGCGTTTTATTTTTACTGAATTCGAAAACCAGGCTATTAAAAAAAAAAAAAAAAAAAAAATGTTATCACTGCGCATCCGTAGGATGGAAAAATCGGTCAATTATGCATCTTGCGTTTTGAGCTCAATAATTCTAATTTCTAAGTTACTGTAGTATAAAGTGTAAAATCTGCAATTCATAAGCAATATTTAAACCAATTTGAGATATTTAGCAATAAGAAAAAAGAAAAACCAAGAACGAAATTTTCCAAGTGATAACCGTTCATCATAGTATTTGACTTAAACACCAGACTGTTTATAAGCTTTTTTTATTTATTTTTTTTGAGGGACAAACAAAAGTTGTTTGCATTCAGCTGTAAGCTTTGTTTAGCTTTTAAAAATCTGTCCATAGTCATTTGAATGTTAAGTTTTTAATGATCATAATAAAATAAATAAGCACACCACTTGGTAAACAATACAAGTTAAAACGCTATATTTCCTCAAATTTTTACTTCGTATCTTGATGACGGGTTATTTTCATGTATGGATGGCCATACATGCCAACTAAAAAAAACCCCCAAAAAAAACCAGTTAATTAAGGTCAATGTAGAGCAACATCGATAGCATGTCATTAAAAAAAGTATAACGTGCAATGAAACAAGCGATGGAAATAAACATTCAAGGAATTTGGTTTAACTTTAAATTCTTTAATCATTAGTAAACAAAACAAAAAAAAAAAAAACAAAAACAAAAAAAAACAGATACACACACGAAAATTTGATATATTGTTGAATATTTTTTAAGGATCTGCCATATTTGCAAGCATTCAATCATCAATACGGTGCGTTGAATACTTAAAAAAAAAAATTAAAAAGGCAAGGAGGAAATGGAGAGATAGAAAAAAAAAAATTAATAAAACTGAAAAATTGTGAAATGAGATTATCAAAATTTAATCGTGTCCTCTAAATTAAACACATCATTAAGTCATTCAACAAAAGACCCCCCCCCTACACACACACTAGCCAACCCAGGACCCAATCCAATTTTTAATCACCACCCCCACAAATAAATCAATATTTGGTTCGAAAATTTATAAGGGTAGATGTATAATGATGTCCTCAGCCACTTCATCTATTTAACAGATAAGAATTAAAAATGCAACGATCATAGTGTAGAACAGGTTGACAAGCCGAATTTGCTCAGCACTAATATTGAGACGGAAGAGTTTGCTAATACAGAAAATAGGGATAATTTTAATTCGCTTCATTTTTTAATGATGTATGTTGCCTCATTAGTCATAAAATGTGGAGAGACTTTGAAAATGACCGACAGTGTCCATTTTTTTTTAATTTTAAATTCTAATCAAGAGCAAGTTTTTATACCTTAAATCGAATTAAAACCAATAAAACAAAAATCTTTAATTCTTCTGTTAAACTGTTAAGTACAAGTAAGAACTGGAATTTAGAAGAGATCTTAAAAAAAAAAAAAAAAAAAAAATACAACACTGTTCTCCACCTTTTTCTTCAGTTTACAGGGAATGACAGTGTATTCATTAGCAAAGCTGACCACTTGCTAAACAGAGAGTAAAAGGCTGAAGAGAAAACTAGGAAAATAAAAAAATGAAAGTTTGAGGTTGGTTAAAAAAAAAAAAAAGATAAAATCACTAGATAGTTACGCAATAACTTCAACATTGATCAGTCGAGGGCCGATCATTTTTTTTTTTTCCACGGGCCGGTGAAGCAGAGTTTGAGTCTTACGACCAGACACATGGTTTTAAAGTGAAGACATCATCTTTTTAACTTTTTTTTTTTTTCACACATGATGTACACACATGGAAATGAACAAAGAACCCTACCTGGAGTACACGAATCCGGAATACGAGCTTGATATTCTTCTCCAACCCTCATCCCACTCTCTGGAGAAAAAAAAAGTCATCGAATAAAAAAAAAAAAGGTAAAAGTATTCATAATTCTTGTACACCGCAAATCGATCATCGAAGACGACGAATTAACTCACCATGATCCGAATCATCAGCAGCGCTGCTATCGTCTGAAATTTGCCCATTAGGACTTCCACACCGAGAGCGCCGACCATTCCGAATATCGTCCGAGGTCTTATCGGCCAATACCATTTTCTTCTCGCCAATTTCCCTAAACCTAAACAACTTATTTACAAATATGTAAAATAAAACTTTTTCAGCGAATTATTACTTATAACGAGTTTGTATAACGAACAGTCAAGTCACGCTTTACACACTAGGTCCTTCGCTCAATTGAGGATTGTTGACAACGCAAGTGAAAACTGTTCATACGCCAAGTAAACTATCGCATATTTTACTTCTTGCTTTCTCACATTGAGTTTGACAAATTCATTAAAAAACTTAACCAAATGACTAGATTTAGCTTATTTTTGCCCTAAGTATGATAAAATTTTAATTAGAACGAAGAAAAAAATAATAAAAATTCTCGATATAAGTCGCGGAATAATTTGGACACGGTATCGCACTATTTTAGCAAACGCGGTCAGCGGAAGCCGAGATAACTGGTGCTTGAATTATAGCAACATAACAAATTTGTTTCTTTTAGTATATTATTACTCAAAATTGAGAGAAATTTACCAGAAGCATATATTTTTATATAAAATTCTCTTCTGTAACTTTTCCACCGAAGATATTAAAAATAAAAGTGTTTTTGAACAAAAATTCATATATGTGAAAATTCAAGTGCTCCGTACATTTCTGTATTTTTTCGTTCCCTCTTTGTTTAATAAGGTTTGTTCCAGTTTGATATTTAAAAATGTTAGAAACCAAACTATTGTTTATTTGTTTCTAGTTTTTGCCTCAAATACAGAATTATAAACATTTTCGATCTAAATCTCTGTCTTCTTTTAAATCGAGAAACTGAGTATTGATTAATCAATAATAGAACTTTGAAGCTACCGTAGTATTCATTACACTCCTAAATATTGATATCGTAATGTTAATTTAAAATGGGTAATTTCTTCTACTGTTTTAATATTAAATCCATTTCACATGTAGTAGTAATGAAATATTCACATTATAACAAAAGTAAAACTTTAAGTAAATTACAAATTATTTCAATTATTACATTTAGGGTGGCTTAGGAACTCCATCCCCCCAAAAAACAGGACATTTCAAAATGGTTTTGGAAGTAAAATTGGATTTTTTATATATATTTTAAAATATCAATTGTTTAACGAATTTCTGTGAATTCAGCAAAATGATTTCTAGTTTAAATACTTAGAGCAGTAATAGATGGCAGGAATGCCTGCAGATTTATTTGCCGGTTTCCTAAGTAGAGTTGTCAGCGCTCAGCGAGACAAAGTCGTCTAGACAGAAGTTTGCCGAGTCAACATGTGTTCTTGTCTGTAGACAAATAAAGTCATTGAATATGCTTGTTAGCTTGTTCAAAAAGAAATATTTATTATTGGTACGTTAGACTAAACCACTTTTTTTTATCCTTGCCCATTTTTTTGTCTCTTGTGCAATCAAGACATAACTACGTCTTGTCATGAATTGGTAAGCATGCATAACAACAAAAAAAGCTCCACAAATGAATTGTCATTTATTTTAAAAATTGTTTTAGTTTTAGGCTCAACAACTAATTTATTTATTCAATGTATAGGGTCATAGGGACAAAGATCAGGTCAAAGCGTTTCATGGATTAAAAAGCCAGCGTCTCTACACCATTGTCGCTTTTTAATTTAAAACGCATCACATCACTCTTTTTTTTTTTTTTGTTGGTAAATGAACATGAAAATTAATTATTTCATAATTAATTTTTCATAACGAATATTCTAACAAGAGCTTAGAGTTTTGAAAAGTGTTTGTTTACGTATATAAAGCTGAATTGTTTATGTTCATTGATTTCTGAGTTTTTGAGGATAAATATTTTAAATTGAGACTGACGTGAACAAGTATCGTTGTACAAAGCGTTTCACCAGCTTTTACTTTTGGTGATTTTTTTTATTTAATTCAAAATGAAATAAATCCCATCCAAGACCCATTAATATATTAAGTGAACTTATTCTGTTTTATAAAAATAATTAATCTGGCAACAGTCTTCATTTTTCTCGGCATAATGATTCAAGCAATTCTAAATTGAAAAAAAAAATCCGACATTTGGCGGGGCAGTGTATGCGGTTAATTGTGTCGTCGGCGAGATGTTAAACTCACGTCAATTCTCGCGAGAACATAAGCAACCAGAACTGAAGTAGACAGTGGAAGGAGTCACTCGTGAATTTCACTGATCAGGTATTGTATTTTTTTTTTCTAACTGATACCGAGTTTCATTTATTAAGAGATCGAGATATTTTGATTTTTACCAGTATAATTATTCGAACTTACATATTGTATTGTGGTGGATATTGCACGCAAAGCATTTGAGGCTTGTAATGTCTGAGTCTAGCAATATTGCACTATGTAAACGAAGAAATATGGAGGTGATGTCGTACTGGCTCTGCCTTTTTTTACTTTGTTGAACGTTGCGAAAAACAAACATTGATTTCTTCTATTATACTGCGTTGATGTTATACATGTTTTTTTTTTTAGAATATCTCTGTTAAGAATTTTACTTAAAGGTGAAATAGGTGGTTACAAAATGCCATTTGTGAGTAGTTATTATTTACAAAAAACGCAACTGACTAGAATACTGGATCACCTTTACTGAAATAATTTAAAGATTTAACTTCGCTATAAAATTTTTCTAGCGGTTGCATGAGTTTTAGCGGTTTCAAACTCTGCAAATAGTTATTTTCTTGGACTGATCAGTTACACGACACCTGAGGCTGGAAGTATATTTTTCTCTTTAATTAATCTTAAAATGGAAGATTTCAATGATGGAAGATGTATTGTAGAGAATTTTGGACGTAAGCTTTGAGTTACGCATAACTAGTCGTAAGAATGTTGAAAATAAAACGATAGAATTTTGTTGAAACGTTTCTTCTTTTTATATATAAAGTTCACAGTCATTGCATTTTAAAATTGTTTTTTTTTTTTCCTGAACAAGAGTTAAGCTTTAAAAGTTCAGCTATGGCGTAACCTGCCATATGACAACTGTATGTACTAAACGTAGTTATAAAGTCGGGGATATGTTTTGTTTTAAGACCATTTCTTCACACATTGAGGTCTAAACTCAATTCCCTAAAAATTCTTTAAACAAAATTTATTTCTCTCTCGCTTAGTCTGGTTTAGTTCGGAATTTTTCCCAACTGTGATATTTTTTATTTGAAACTTGAAGTATTGAAAGTTTTTTTTTTTTTTTTCTTTTTAAACTTTAATCCAAATAATTTTCTGGTATTTGGCTAAATTTTAATAGAAAAATTTGTAAAATTTTCGAATTTCCTCAATCACAAAATCATTACTTGGCTTGCATTTTTTGTTTCGTCTTTCTTTCCTCTTTTGAAAATACCATTATTTAATTTACTCATGTTGCCTTCAATTTTTTACAAAAAAAAAACTTACTAGTACTTATTTTTTAATTCGTTACTTTTAGTTTTATTTTTAGTGATTTTCTTGTATAAAAAATGCTAATGCTCTCGTAATTATTCATTTTTGTATTTTCATTCAGTGTCACGTAGCCACTTAGAAATTTTAAATTTCTACACTTTGATTTTTTTGTAAATGTAACTTTTTAAAAAGTAGGCTAGAGGTAGGTTAAGTTAAGTAAACTTAATGATAAAGTAAAACAACTGAAGTTGTTTTACGTTATTTTGATTAAGAAGATTTTAGGTTGAAATACATGTTTGCAATAGGTACTTTTTTATGTTTTTATGAGTTTATTACTTAATGTCTTTTTTGTTCACATTGAAGTTTGTAAATGTAGTAATTTTAACGTCCGAGACATTTCTATGCCAAACAGTGAATTAATTCCCTACCCTGCTTTTGAATTTGATATTAGTCGAGCAAAATATAATAACTAATAATGTCTGAAATGCAGTATAATTTGCTTCTCTACGAAAAATATATATTTCAGTTTGAGGGCAATAATCTCGCAAAAAAAAAAAATGTCCGTGTCTAGTTTCTGAGATTTTCTCTACGTGCATTCCATCATAGTGGGAATTACTATTACTTGGGATTCTTCTTCTGACAGTAGACAGCGTTTTCAGAGAAATTTGTATTTATTTTTCTATTCTTATATAAAACAATATAATTGGCTTAAATTAGCTTATACAGCTCACATATCGGTTAAAATCAGAATTCCTGGATAACGTATTGTTGTTATCAAAGGAGGACTATATATGAGGTTATGTAATGAAATCAAAGGGTAAAGTATGGGAGGTAATTCAGTGTGTGTTTTATATGCAAAAATTGTTTCCGAAGTTAAAATCAACATTACCCCATCTCTCCAAAAATGATTACTTCCTCAATGGAACTTGATGTTACCTTTATGCACATTTTCAGTAGATCTAATTGATTTCAAAATTTTAGGGTATTTTTTTTTCTCTGTGCTTAAAATTCTAGTTAAACTGTCCAGTTTCTTTGTCAATGTATGCCAACAACTGCAAAAAATAAAAAAAATTGAACAAATTCAACAAAACACGTTTGAATTTTTGTTTTGTAGGTATGTTATTTAAAATGAAAATGTACATTCTGCATTTTGCATCTGCAATAGTGTTACTGTTAATTTATTGTTGAATCTTCTCTTATAAAAATAAATTAAACAGAATTTATTGTCTTGTAAATTACAAATCGTATATACAAATATTAGGCTTTTTATTTGTATATACCTAAGTATTGAAATAATGAACTGAAGATATCTTCTTAGCTAATAAAGTTTTAAATACACAGTTCATTATGTTCATAGTATTTTTAATTGCACATCAATGATTTAATTTATTAAGTTTATAAATCATAGAAACATGTTACATAATAGTTATGTCACTGCTAACTGTAATATATTTAATGCAATGCCAGTGAAACATATTACTTCATCTTTATGTAATAGGTAAATATTTCTTTTCTCTTCATGTTATTTAGAGAGAAAATCAGAGGGTGAACAATGGATGGGGTTTCTTCAGTTAAACAAGGAATGCATTCTGACCATCTGAAGCCACAAAAAAGGGCTGCAATGTTTTAATTGTGGTACTTCCACCGATTTTCGATACTTTGGT